AAGTGGAAATATAATCCAATCTAGAACGTTAGAATAGAACATACTCCTTTCCTTCTTCTGTGCCGTTTACATTACAAGTAGCTCTTTTGCTAACAAGGTTGTCTTATCGCGGTTCAATTTCACAAACTCAAAATGCTCAATAGCGTCTATCGACCTCGTCTTTGAAGACGATTTTTTTCACTTGAACAGATTAATCTATTGAATATCTCCGCTGGAAGGTGTGAATAAGTCAGCGACAGTTTTTATGGGCGCCTTACAAAGTTGAGTTGGGTTAATCTATTCTTAATGGCCAACATTCTGAGACACGCGTTGAATGGTGGTTGGTGTTCAAGTCACGTGGTACAACTTCGGTAAAGTCACACGCCAACTAAACTTATATAGAACTCACTCGTTTTTCCTAATGGCCTAATGGCAGTGGTATAGCTAGGGCGAGTGCCGCCCAGGACAGGAAAATATTTTTGCCCTAAGAAAAAAACTCTCCAATCGGTCGATTATGTTTCCCCTCAATATATAGGGGAAAACGTACAAATACAGTACACTCATTTGTCCCTTCTTAAAAGCAATACACGTTTTCCTTTCATTCTGTGATAGATTGGGATTGAATTGTCCTTGATCACAAATTCCCCCTCTCCCTTAAAGTCACAATGACCTCACAGAACTTCATTATTTGACATTTCTTTGCAAGGTCCCGGAGATTATAGGCCTAGAATCTCTTTCATAAACACTGCAGACAGCGCTTCATCGCCAGACAGTCGATTTCACACACAGATATCACTGTATATACTTTCGTCTAACCCAGTGGTTCTCAAACTTCCTAATGGCGCGACCCTTTAATACAGTTCCTCATGTTGTGGCGACCTCCAGCCACAAAATTATTTTCTTTGCTACTTCATAACTGTAGAGCATGTCTGTTTTCAGATGACCTTAGGTGACCCATGGTCAATGGTCGTGCGAGCCAAAGGGGTTGCGACCCACAGGTTGAGAACCGCTGGTCTAATCGTTCAAACTTTGTCTCGCGCTGTTACAATGAAATCATTGTATCTGCACGATAAGGAAACTTTGTTTAAAGGAAACAACATAGATTCGAAAGACATTCGAGTTAAGCTGCATGTTTATGTACACAAGAATGGCGCTGTGTCTGTCCATAAAAATGTATGTGGTGAGAGTAGCCTCCCATCAGGCAAGATATACAGCAACCGATTATCCATGCGAGAAAGCAATTAATTTAATATACCATGACGTGAGTGAGACTTGATCTCAGGGGAGGCCAGTCGGATCAATATCAATCGTCTTTGTTAAGAGTCGTTGCCTTCGTTTTATGATTATCGGTGTTGGTCACAGATCTGGTGAAATGGAGAAGCGATCTTGAAAAATGAGACGTTGTTCGATTTAAACAATTTGTGAAAATTGTTCGCATTTCTAGATTTATTATTATTATTTTAATAAGTGCTGTTTTTATCTAAGAATATTATTTCGTTCCCAGAAAGTTCTAATTCCCTAATTTAACACGTATAATATTACATCGCACCTTCTTAGACAATTAATTCAGTACAGTGATATTGTGAAAATAGGATTTAGACCAAGAAAGCCTTGGAGTAGGCTAACCACCAATGACATGACTCTATTTTTTACCAAAGTTCGACCCCATCTCCCCCCTCCCAAGATTGTCACATACTTGTCACAATAGACAGACACCCGGGTATGAACAATAACAAATTTGTGAGCCCCCCCCCCCACACCTTTTTTTTTCTTTTGCCGACCCTTTTGATAAGATGTGTGACGTCAGTAATGGATCGTTCCTTCATAAAAATTTTAAAAAATAATAATATTTTACTGGGCTCACGTCCAATTATGTAAAAAAAATGTTAAAACTAGAAGATGAATAGAATTTTCAATTGGTCGTTAATTTTCTATGATCAATGAATTTACTACGGTTAACAGCGCATTCCTTTTGAAACTGACTCATCAAATGCAACTAAACAACTCCTAAAAACTAAGTTTTCGTTTACATCCTTAACACGCATTTTATAGCGCACTTTTCAGGAATTTTATTTCTTGAAATCAGTGGCATCATATTTCCTTCATCTTCCCCTTGAAAAAACAGGAAAAGCTATTTTTGGGAGGCATTGGCATAGGGGGATGGGGCTGAAAATTTGAAAATTTGTCATCTGCAACGAGTCTATGTGCCAAGTTTCAGCTCGATAGGTTGACGGCAAATGAGTCAAGATTTTGCATTAAACACACAAAAGCAAAGTTAATATAAAGGATTTAAAAATAGGACGCTTCTCATTTATATGTATTTCCTATATTAAAAAATGTAAACCACATGCCCTCTCCAGCGGGATGGGCCAAGATTTTTTCCACCACCTTTCCACAAATTAAATTCTGCAGTTGGCAGAAAATAGCACTTCATATGATGTAAAAAGGTCCCAGCCGGTCGGACCGACCCTCCGCTCCCCCTTTCTTAAGCCACTGGCACTTATTTGGACTGGATTGTTTTAATATGTATTTATTAATTAAGCAGGCAGAAGAATTTAATAGTTCAAATAAAAATTATAAAACAAGATAATTATTTAATAACAATTCTAAAAAAAGGATTTCTATAATAGTATAATTATAAAACAATCAGGTTCACATCCACCTTGATTTCCTTTTCTGTTTCTCTGTTGATGCAAAACTGAAGTCATGTGTTCACCAAAATGCATTCCTTTGATTTTAAATTTCTCTTGGGAGGGGTATAAGCCCTCCCTCCCCAAACACCTCCTCTTTCATTTCCACTTCTCCCCCCCCCGGCCGCTCAAAGTGTCATTAGTGGCACCTTTGGGTCTATACAAAGAAACCAGTAGATTTTTGTAATTTGATTTTATTAACTAACAAAATTTTCCTTTTCTGTTTCTCTGTTGATGCAAAACTGAAGTCATGTGTTCACCAAAATGCATTCCTTTGATTTTAAATTTCTCTTGGGAGGGGTATAAGCCCCCCCTCCCCAAACACCTCCTCTTTCATTTCCACTTCTCCCCCCCCCCCCGGCCGATCAAAGTGTCATTAGTGGCACCTTTGGGTCTATACAAAGAAACCAGTAGATGTTTGTAATTTGATTTTCTTAACTAACAAAATGATATTTCCTTTTAATTTTATAAATGTAGGTGGACAATATTTGTCTTTATAGAATCCAGGGGCGAAAATAGGTGGGACCAAGGGCATGCCCCAGGGCGCAAGCACTGGATGAATTCATTTTATTTAGGGTGAGAGCAATGATTGCCCTTATTTGTAATTTCTTTGTTTATAATTCCATCATTACCCCCCCCCCCACACACACACACACTCGGATCAAATTCTCTGAAAGAAACACTGAAGACGAGAGAGTGAGGCGGACGACTTGAGCATGTTTCCCTCACTTCAAACAAAATACAGTTCAAGTCAAGGCCACAGTTCAAGTCCAGGCCACAGTTCAAGTCAAGGCCACAGTTCAAGTCCAGGCCACAGTTCAAGTCAAGGCCACAGTTCAAGTCCAGGCCACAGTTCAAGTCAAGGTCACAGTTCAAGTCAAGGCCACAGTTCAAGTCAAGGCCACAGTTCAAGTCAAGGCCACAAATCAAGTCGAAGCCTTGGTCATCTTCGCGTGCGAAGAAAGAACAATATTACATTTGATTTCAAACACATTTGTAATGTGAGTTCGTTACGCCAATCGAATCTAACAAAACTAAAATCTGCCCATAGAATTAAACGAAATGGTCATAAGCAGAACAAGTCTTTCTAACAAGTCTTTCTAACAAGGCGTTTCTAACAAGGCGTTTCTAACAAGTCTTTCTAACAAGTCGTTTCTATTTTTTTATTTTTTGCGGTGGGGTGGGGGTGTCTTTTTTCTCTCATCGTACTTACCTTTAAAAAAATAGTCTAACAAATAGTGAAGGCTTTCCTTAACATTTTTCATTTGGGCAATGGACTGTTTCCTTGACTTTTTCCTTGACTGTTTCCATGACTGTTTCCTTGACTGTTTCCTTGACTGTTTCCTTGACTGTTTCCTTGACTGTTTCCTTGACTGTTTCCTTGACAGCTGTGCTGATCCAAATTGCGCTAAAGCACACACACAAATATAAATTATTTTGAATATAAATTTGTTTAAAAATTTTTAAAACTTAATAATTGTTTTTAATGAGGGAGATAACTAGGGAAATGATATTTTGAAATACCGCGATTACTAATAACCCCCAGACAACAACGCTCTACAATGTATGAATATGCATGACTTTTTCAAAACCAGATCATGCGTCACAATTATCACGAAATTGCATGTTGGGAAAGTTTTAAGGAAATTAAATTGATTATATTTATTGTTTGTTCGATTGCCGCCCTTGAGTTGATCAACGCTTTATGGCGCTGTTTGGCACTGGGATAAAAAATAAACAATTTTTTTTTTTTTACATTTGGCTATTTCTCTCTTCCCCCTTTTAAAAAAAAAAATCACGAGTTTTGGTAATATACCAAGTCACACAAACTAAATTTTCTGTTTTTTGATCGGGGCGTCAAATAATTTTAAATTTGTAATTCCTTAGTTGTCGTCTCGCCCCCCCCCCCCAACACAAAAAATATCATTGCTGTTTTTCAACTCTCCAGTCACAACTGCCATATTTTGGCTCTTGAACACTCCACACACACCCTTTCAAAATACAAGTTTACACACACACACCCTTTCGAAATAAAAGTTTAACAAATTGGTTAATCTTAAGTGTGCAACAAATGAGACCCTAATTTCACACTATCTGAGAACACCAAATTCCCACTATATTAGCGCCCTAAGTTCACACTATATTAGCACCCCAAGCTTACACTATATTAGCACCCCAAGTTTACACTTATTTAGCACCCCAAGTTCACACTATTAACACCCCAAGTTTACACTTATTTAGCACACCAAGTTCACACAATATGAGCACCCAAAGATCAATATAGATTATAAATGAAATGTACACTAACAAAATGACTACCACAAATTAAAATATATTCTTTTTTTTATTTGTATTATATAAATTATATAAAGCATCACGAAAGATATAATGATACAATTATTGGTTTTAAATGTATGGAAATATAAAAAGTATCACAACCATCAAAATAACCAAAGATTTTACAGCCAACTGGATACTAATCAGTACATCAAGACTATAATATAAAACACAATCATCAAAACAAACAAGTCTTTTCATTTAAAAAATAAACCAAAACACAGATGCAAACAGCAGTGGGGAGGAAGGTAAATTTAAAAGTAATAATTTAGCTTTTATAAAAACTTTAGCTAACTTCTCTTAAAAGGTTGATCTTAGAAGCAGTCTAAGAGCTCACTAAATAGAAATCTGGACTGTGAAGATTTAGCCAAATTACTATATGAATGGGCTTCACATGAATGTGAAGGTGCAAGGCTACATTGATGAGGTCAAAGTTCAAAGTGCAGTACAAATTATCCTTTTCAGACAGTTGTTGTTTAAATGTCAACAATAACCATTAAAAATATTACTTTTATATAAAACTAGAAATAAATCTGCCAAACAATGGCAGCGGAAATGCGTGAACTTCCCATCTACAATTATTACTTGACAAAACATGCATTCAAGTAACAAACTTTATAAGATTTACAATTAGAGTAATTTTATAATTTAAATTTATTTCTCATGTCTAAAAGTAATACTTACATATAAAAGAATTTTTATACTTACACATTGGCCCAAGCGTATTTATTTTGCCCAATAATTCGACTTCTGTAAAAAAAACAATCTGACTAACAGTGGCTTTAAGAATCCTATTTAGAAATATGAATTGTATCTTGGTGCATATTGTACACAGATGTTCATGCTGTTGAATGCACTTTTGGGAAATGTATTATCCCGCTATTTAAACAAAGCGTTACAACAATTGCATTAATATAAACATACAAAGTACATACCTAGAGAATAATTATTTTTGACTAGCATTCAGCTTTACATCTGGACACACAATTAAAATGACGTAAATTTTTTTTTAAGTAATTCAAAAATCACATGTTACAATAGGAATAAAAGCTGAGATAAACGTATTTTGGACAAGGAGTACACGAATAACAACTTCTGATTATAAAGGTTCTATTCCTTTTTCTTTGGAAGCAAAATACGCAGGAGATAGCAAACAAAATAATTGATTAATTTTAATTCATAATAATAAATAGATTTGTTTAAATCCCATTCTCTTTGAGTGTTATAGACAACAGATTTAAACAAATTACAAACTTTTTTCTGAAAATTAATTCAATAATTTACATATATTTATTGTAAATTTTGTAGCCCAAAAGATTTGTCAACATATATAGTAGAAACAAAATTTTAGGCAATGTGTGGTATTAAACAGATAGAGAGAGCATCAGTATTTTTCTTGTCTCACCTTCAGGAGGAGTTCTAACTACAGTAACAAGAATGCTTGACATACAGAGATTGTTTAACAGTAAAATTTATATGTAAAGCTCCATAATATACTGTAGAATGCATAAAAATGCACAGAAAAATTTCATCAATGAATTCTCCCACAAACAATATAAAGAATTTCCTAAAGTTAAATAATTTTACTATTTTTAAAAGTAGTTAACTGAACGCATTGTTTACACCTAAGCGCATACACAATTTTTTATTCTAGCAAATCAACTTTCAAACTTTTGCTTTACAAGTTAACGCAAGCCTATTGGTATATGCCTAATCTATCATTAGGTATGGGAATCTCAAGATTGCTTGACAAAAATTATTAACTTTTAAGTTCATCATCAACACTTATTTCAATGTTATTTTAATCCTGCATTTTGCTTAGTTTAATCAAATGGAATCCAATTTCTTAAAGACAAATTATGGAACAAACTTTTTTAAAATTTGATATCAATTGCAGACAAATTTCATCTCCAATGTAGTAAGCCTATCAAAGTATTTGATGTAAAAGGAATCGATATATAACTTATGCAGAGCTGACTTTTATATTGTCAGGCTTTAAGGAGTGAGCAGTTAAGTTAGTGGGATTCTTCCATTGCATTAAGGCCGTTTATAATTGCACATTGGAGCTGAAGACTTTGGATCAAAGGTCAGACAACTGTACCCCACAGACACAACAGATACCCTAAAAAGGTCACCAATATTCAATGTCCGAGTCACCCTCCACGTCATTCTCAGTTGATGAGTCATAACTGCCACTGTCATCCACGTTGTCATCCCCACTGTCATCATCATCAGATTCTCCACCATTGTCACTTGCCACATCAAATATGTTACGGACTAGACTGCTGTTCATGGGCCTCTGGGCCTGGAGAAGGCAGAACTTTAAGGACATGCGGAGATAAAGCAGTTGAGCTTCAAAGTGGATCAGCAGGGAATGTGGGAGCTGGACGAGCTCCAGAAGGCAGCGCAGCACCGTGCCGTTCAAAATGAGGGTTATGTATTCCTCATATTTGCGAGGGCTGGAGAGAAGTTCTTTGGCCAGAAAGTTTTCTTGAATGGACGAGACAGGCAGGATGTTGTGTAGGCAATCTGTACTTTCAATTAGACAGCACTGGTAGAAAATAACAGCACTTTGTTTATTCATGAGATGGCAACACTTAGATAGCATAGTGGTTTTTAAGCTGAGGTGATTTCATTGCGCCAGCAATTTAGTAATTCATAAGATGTTTATCGCCCCCCATCCTAACTTTCCCCACCCAAAATTGATTTAAATAAAATTATCTTGAGCTATTAAGCCAACAGTTCAAGTGTTACTTTCAATCATTTTAAAACAAATTATTGTCACATCTCAATAAAATTTCCCTAACCTGAAAAACTTTGCGAGCAGCCAGCTGTTTCAGTGACGCACTCTTGTAACCAAACATTAAGTGTATCAAGGACCCCGCATATGAGCACAGGTGGGAGAATTCTGGAAAGTCATGCTCTATCACATTGGACAACTCTTTCATGATTTCAGAGGTGGTGAAGTAACCTGCAGAAGAAAAAGTAAAAATTGTGATTAAATGGGACTTAATGAACTATTTGTTTTTAAAAAAGAATTTGCCAATGAAAATTATGTATCTATCTCTTCAATTCTCCAAGTATTCTGAAATATAATTCAGACTTTATCACTAAAATTAAGCTAGCTGTAATCAAATTAAAACGCATCATGGGAAAAATTGCTTTAGAACGTAACATTAATAATTTAAATGAAATAATTTACCTGCATCAACCAAGGCTGAGATTGGGAGAGGTGATTTTGTAGCCTGGTCATAGAGATATGAATGTACAAGAGATTGTTGTAGTGGAATGGACATCAAGGAGGCAAACAGAGGGGACAGCTTCCTGAGGAGATATATTGTTGTACTGTGTTTAATTATTAGTGATGTTTTTGTTGTAGGTTTAATTCGTCATAAGGGCCATTCCTATGATGGTTACACTATTTTGGACCATTTTGCCAACCCCCCCCAAACTCATCCAGTCTTCACACATTTGTCAAAATTTTGACATCATCATAGCACATCGCTACAATTTTGTGCCCCACTCCCGTCCTCATGTGTGATGCCATTTACTGATGGCCTCTAATGCTTTTGTTGCAGGTTTAATTCTTAATCAGGAAATGGATCAGTTTCCAAGGACTATTTTATCATGGACTATTTTATCATGGACTTTTTTATCATGGACTATTTTATCATGGAGTATTTTATCATGGACTATTTTATCAAAACAATGCACAATCGATTTCTGATAATTTAAGTTTACCTTTTTTTCCTCCTTGATTCCCAAACATGGCACTGCATAGCTGGGTCAGCCCCTGCATCTAATAGTATTCTTGCACTGTTCAAATCTTCCCGAAGGACACAGTGAAACAGAGCAGTTTGTCCATAATTGTTTTGGTGGTTTAACTAGAATGTGAACACAAATTTAAAATCTTACACTCTTAGTGTGACAATATTTAAATTGTAGAATTGTAAATTTTTATAGAGAAAAATTGCTTTTAGGAAAATTATTTTAAGTTTAAACTACAAATAACAAAAGAAATATACCCCGAAAAATGTCTCCCTTAGATTTTAGAAATATTTAAAGATATCTAATTTTTTTTTCATAAATCAAACCTCATCCCCTTCTGTAACTTGCAATTTCAATGTGACTCAGCTGTGTAACAGTATATGAATTTAATTTTGAATTTACACAAAATTAAAAGAGTCTATAGGGCACCTACGCAAAACCATGAGCCTATTTTACTTTAAAAACTTCATTAAATTTTTCATCTAGAAGTCTATTTCTCCTTCTGTCATCAAATAGCCATATGAAAGATTTTTTTTTTAAAAATTCACTTTCAAAATGCCACATAAATGTGACAGCTTTAAAAATAGCTTTAAGAGATCAAATTTTTGGATACCGGTAATAAAATAAGAATTGATTGCCTCACACAATCCTCACTTGTCCTCACACTTGGTTGTCCTTGGCAGAACCAATTCTTATGGTCTACAGACTTAATTAAGTTTCCCAACCCTCCTGTATGCATACGCAGCTAAAGAAATTGTTTGAGTTTAGTTAAGATCATTAGTTTTCTTACATCTGTTTCTTTTCGCTCCAAAAAAAATTGCAGAAAATCAGACTTTACTGTCAGTTTGGATTTTAGGTCATCTTCAAATAAGGCCTTACGAACAATATCACTCTCACTTGCTGGAGACACATCGTAACTGTTGTCACTTTCAAATGCAGCTACGTTACACAAGGTCAAGAGAGGTGTGTTACCAGCACCATCCACCATAGTGATGTCAGCATTGTTATCACACAAAATGCTCAGTAGAGATAGATTATGACTAAACATTGACAGTTTGTGAATAGCAGTCATTCTAGTTTCATCTAATATATTGGCATCACCACCGTGACCTGAAAGAATAAGTAAAATAACATACTAATTTACCAGTGCCTTCAAACACTTTTTTTTAATTCCCATTTATTTTATTCAAACACAGTTATTCTTCAAGTTTGATGACATGTACTGGTAAGCTTAAAACTGTTCCTTACTAATTTAAATGCTAGAAAAAAACATACGGAGGATATTAAATATAAGATCTTTGAGATCTTCTATGACATCTTCCTGGTCTGTTAGATACTGTTTGTTTAATCCAACTACTAACTCAGTCAAAGGATTCCACACTCTCTGATGATGGTGCCTACAAGAAAATAAGACAGACATTTAACTGCAAGTTGAAAGACTATTTAATTTTAAAATATAACAGAGCTTTCAATTTAAAGGGACAATACAAAATTGTTTTAAAATTAACAATAGCAGTTACCAAGGAGAATCAGTGACTTCGATAGCTGGTTGCCTTGTTAGATCAACATAAAAATCAACTAAAAGTTCCATGCAAGATTTCCCAGGACTGATATATTCAGACCCAAAATTTGTCTGCAAAATAAAATAAAACAATTACACAATCTAAAAGGATATTATTATTATTATAATTATAGATTCACGTAAAAATTAGCAAAAAGAAAAAAGTAAACATGACATTAAAAAAAAAAACGTTGCATAAAATTATCAATTTAAAAACGGCTTTGTAAAAAGATTGACCTCGCCCAACCGCCGGGCGGGGTGGGGGGAATGAATCAGAATAGTAGAGTTTGAAGAGATGTGTCGTGAGGGCGGCAGTTTTGAGCTTGGTTGGTGGGTATATTGCGGATGTGTAATGGAAGAGAATTCCATTGTTTGAAGGCACAGAAAGAGAACGATCTTGAATGATATTATAATAATAACCAGAGCCAGGTCTGTAAAAATGTTTTCAAGGTATGCAATTCAGACTAAAACCTCAACTTTTTATTTTAAAAGCTTAAAACCTTTACCACTGGCACACGATGATTCACATTAGCGCCTCTTTCAATCAAGAGTTGTGCAAGGTAAAAATTGCGTGTTGCAACTTTCTGATGGTATTCATCAACACCACACAAGCATATATATAATGGTGTTCTTTGGTAACATCCTGTAAAAAATATATATATATTTAAAAAATCAATTATTAAAAACAATATAAAATAAGTTATTATGCTTGAAAGCTGCATCTATGTTAATGATAAAATCTAAAAATTCAATATCTTTATATGCTTTAATATAATTTTCAATGCTTATCTATATTTTTGGGTGCTCAATTTTTGTGTCAAAAAAATAAAGTGTGGAAAAAATGTTTAATAGTAGAGAGAAACCCACATTATTGCAAGAGAAATTCTTTTTGAAAAAAAATTTAAGAAATAGGCCAACTGTTTTAGATAAAATTATTTTACTATATGTAAAGATTATAAATCAATAAATAGTGGAATGAGATTTTTACTCTTGAAAAGAAAAGACAGGATAATTTAACAGATATTTCGCCTAGATGCCTTCTTTAGCTGTTATTTTTTTTTTCAAACCTTGTTCCACTATTTATTTGCTTCTCAAGGCTTGAATGCAGTCCAGTCCTTCATATATTAAAGATTACAAAGCATTTCTACTTTTATAATATAAACTCCTTACCATCGTCTAAATATGATGCATTTGGACACTCTAAAATAAGGCGTTCTGCTGTGGCACAGTTTCCTTGTTCTAATGCCTGTGTTAGTGGGGTTTCATTCATTCCAAATTCAACATGAAACACAAAGGCCATCTTTACAACCTAAGTAAAATAAGTTATAAGTTTGGAAGTAGTTATAAATTTTAAAATTTTATGTAATTATTTTGTTATCTTTCGCTTTCATAACTACTATGACATGATACTATGATAAAAAGTATGTGAATGTGAAATTTTGAGTACATCTCAAATTTTACCCACTTAATATGTTACTACATAAATTGGATTAATCAAAGTCTAAGGGGCTAGGCCTGAACTACAGCTTTGTTGACAATCACAGGTTATATATGAATATGGGTAGCCTATTTGAATTGAAACTTGAATTGAGCAAAATTATCTTGACTTGATGATATTTATGACTATCTTAACGTCTTCACAATTTTTATTTGTTGTGTAGGCCTACTTATATAACTTTTATTAAGTATAGACTATGGTCATTATGGTACAAAACATACACAATAATTGATAATATTCTTTAATTTTAATGCTTTGTGCTATAATTTTTTGATGGGTCCTTCCTTATCTTTGTCCACCACTGGGCCACACTTGTTTAAACTACACTGAGTTGAGTACTGTTTTTCAAATCATAACTGTTGAGTCACTGAGATTGTTAAACTTAATTTGTTTGAGGCTCAACTTGAGGTGTGTTTGGTTAAGCTTGTCTTTAAGTATAGTACTTAAGTAATTTTTAAGTTTTGGGCCTTATGCAGGCTAGGCTAACTTAGTCCTAGGCTAAGTTAGGACTAAACTAAAGCCTAAAAGCCAAAGCCAGCCCTAACTAAAGTAAGGACTAAAGTCAAAGGCGAGGCAAAGGCAAGGAACAGTTACTCAGCTCTTGGCCCTTACACTATTCCCACGAAATGACACATTGATGGGCCTACTTGAAATTTATTTATTTTCTATTAAAACAATCAACATAACACTTAAATATTTAGCCTACTACTATACTAAGACTAAGTTCTGGGTGACAAATTTTGTGTAGCTCTTTTGCATACGAAATTATATAATTATAACAAAAAAGTATAAAATTCCCAAACTGAATCGCAATTTTATAAATAACTAGCGAGTACCCGGCATGCGTTGTTATGTCACTCAAAGAAATAAAGTGTTTGTGTTTTAATTTTAATTATGTTTTTTTTTTAAAGTTATTTTTATATACACAATATTTTTGTTTGTTTTTACCGTCTGGTGCGTACTCGAAAAATTAGTGTACTCGAATAAATTAGAAAGTTTTTCGAAGCATGAGCAAGTCCATGTGAGAAGCATGGATTTTCAAAATTTAGTCAATAAACTTAGCTAAGGTTAGGAGACGTCCGTATGACAGTTGTATTTTCACCCCCCTTATCCGAAATAATTTTTGCGTCAGTATTTGTCAGTATATCTACTTTCCTCTCGTCATCTGGCTTGTCCGTACTTTAGGCAGCGACGACTTCTTCTTCTTCTATATCTTAAGGGCCCACGATCAATTTATTGATCATTTTGGCTCCTTTGCATGTAGATGGGATTTGCAATGTTTCTGTTACTGGTGTTGATGAGGAAATCATGCACTAGGGGTTTGAAGGCTTGGGGCAATAGACACAAATGTGTCTAGTGTTGTCGCCTCAACCGTTCCTTTTGAAAGATTGTTCCAGTCCCTGATTGTCTTGGGCAGGAATGAGCAGCTCCTATACTGGCTTCTTGCTGGTATGAGCCTGAATTGCCTGTCATAGCCTCGTCGCTGTCTATGGGGGAGAGGGACGAGTTTCTGTTTAATACTGGAACAGTGGACCAGCCCATTATTTATCTTGTACATCATGGAGAGCCTGGATTGTCGTCGTCGTTTCTCCAATGGTGACCAACCTAGTGTTTCTAGCATGCTGCCAACACTAGAGGTATTCCTGTAGCGGTTTAGGACAAAACGTGCTGCTCGTCGCTTGACCGCCTCCAACCTCTCAATGCTCTTCTGGGTAAATGGGTCCCAGACTGAAGATGCATAATCTAAAATCGGACGGATAAAGGCTTTATATGCTCTTTCTTTCACACAGGAGAACGGTTAGAAATCTAAAGCGGAATTCTTGGCTAGGGTCTTGTTTGCTTGGTTACATACATTGTTAATATGCTCGTCCCAGCGGACCTCTCTTTGAATGGTAACACCCAGGTACTTTACGGAGGAAAACTTGCTCAAGTATATGGCCGTGCAGTTCGTATTGGTAGTGTAGAGGAGTACAACTTCTAGAGATTGATAGTGTCTGGCACTTGACAGGGTGAAATTCCATGACCCAGCTCATCTCCCACTCAGCTAACAGATTGAGATCCTGTTGTAGCTGGTCCTGGTCAGATCTGTTGGCGATCGTCCTATACACTGCTGTGTCATATGCGAACAGTCTTGCCTGTGATGTCAGTTTCTCGGGTAGGTCATTAATTTATGCTAGGAACAAACAGGGGCCCAGGACTGATCCCTGGGGGGGACCCCTGACTTCACATCGACAAAGGAGGAGCTTGTACCACCCACCACTACTGCTTGGCGTCGGTGGCTGAGGAAGCTAGAGATCCATGTTTTAGTGGTGCCTTGAATCCCATATATCTGGAGTTTGTGTAGAAGCAAACTATGATTCACACGGTCAAATGCTTTTGCGAAGTCCATTACTAGCACGTCAGTCTGCTTGTGGTTCTCCAGATTGGTCATCAGGTCTTCTACAAATTCGAGAAGCTGGGTCTCNTTAATTAAATTGTCTTTAGATACGGTAATTAAATCATCTGATAATTAAATCGTCTTATAATTAAATCATTTTGTAATTAAATCGTCTTATAGTTAAAATGTCTTGTTATTAAATCGTTTTATAATTAAATCATCTTATAATTAAATCGTCCTGGGGCCGTAGAGAAACTTTTTGAGCCCTTAATTCTTTTATGTTTGTGTTAACAGGCTACACATATTTTAGGTAAAAAGAAAACACTCTCGGATAGAATATTAAGCTTTAACGCAATATGTTTGTTTTAAGGAAACTAATATTGACCGGTCAAAATTATATTAATCAGAAGATGTTTCTCATAATTTAAAGCCATTTTCCTCATTATTGCTTGTTATGTTTTATATTTAAACAAATACAAACTAAATTTTAAATTGGCATCATTCTTATCAAGCCATTCAGCTGTTAAAAATAAAATAGCATTTTCTCTGTGTATTATACCGACCATTCTCTCTCTATCTTTTGGCAGTCGCTTCATCTGGCTGAATTGATTTTTTTTTTTTTTTTTTTTTTTTTTTTTTTTTTTTTTTTTTTGGGGGGGGTGGTATAATTGAAATTCAGTGTTTTTATTTTACTTTTTTTAACGGGGGAGGACATTTTTAAGGTTTTGCGGGAGGCATTATGGTGCCTAATGCCATACATAAAACTGGATTCACTCAGTCTGTGGCGTGTCCCAGAGTAATCATCGGGCACAAGCTTAAAATCAACCCCATACTGTTCCATTAATCAGCGTGATTGAAGGGGTGCAGAAATTTTGGGTGCTTAAGAAAATCGGGCAAACTCAAAATCCAGAGGTGCATTTTGGTGCATACTTGAATTTGTGTTTCTTTCAGACAATTTTGAGGTTGCATTTCAAACTTTCGGGTGGGCAGTGCCAAGATTAGTCATAATAATGATCAACGACATCTTCCAATCGGCTCCAGTGAGAGGTAAACTAAATTCCTTCTACTTGTGTCCAATGTTCCCGCTAAGGTTTGTTGGTTCGTGTCCAAAATCATACAGTTGTGTGCAAAGTTTTACACCATCAATTTTTTAGTGTGCAAAATTTTACAGCCCTTAACACAAACACACACTGTCATACACTTATATGGAAATTTGCTGCGCGGGACTCAAAACTGCTGCGCGGCGTCTGTGAAATAGCTGCTCGCCGCGCAGCTTAAAAGAAACATTGCTTGTGTCACCCTTGAACTATACACTCAGATACAAAAACGTATAACTAAAATATGGCAAGAAGAGAAAATTCCAACAGAATGGGAAAAGCAATAATAACCCCAATACACAAGAAAGGCTCCAAACTTCAGTGCACAAACTACAGGGGAATCTCCTTATTTAATGTTTCATACAAAATACTGACGAAGATAATTGCCTAATTTTATATTTATAAAGTTCATATAAGAAAAAAAACTAATTTTGGGCCCCTGGCTCAAAAAAGTAATAAGATTATAAGTACATACAGATCTCTAATATTAAATGCGCTGCCGGTCACAAAATTAAAATCCACCATGCGGCGAAAATGGTGCATAAAGCTTAGGAAAACATGCGTTCTACGTCATTGATGATCAAATAATTTAATTATTTGAAAACTGTGACGAAAAACGCAAAAAAAAAAAAAAAAAAAAAAAAAAAAAAAAAAAAAAAAAAAAAAAAAAAAAAAAAAAAAAAAAAAAAAAAAAAAAAAAATATAAAAAAAAGAAAAAAAAAAAAAAAAAAAAAAAAAAAAAAAAAAAAAAAAAAAAAAAAAAAAACATCACCGACCAGCCAAATGCTATATTGCCATAAATGGTTTTGCGTCATTTTTCGTATACGCGAACGGAATGCGCGTGAGATTTTCATAGTGTTAAAATGACTAAAATCGACTGGTTCGCAGAAATGCATAGACTTTGTACATTGTAACAATGTAAAGATACGAGGTAGTAGTTGGAACAACGATACATAAAAATTATAATATAAAATGTGAGAAAAGCCGGACATTTTACAAGATTGTAGCTTTGCCTGCCGGACGGAGGACAATGAGCTAAATAGGAGGACATTTCCTCCTTTTGCCGGACGTCTTTCAAGCCTATCCCTAGAGGCATGGCCAAGTGTGCATTGTGCCCATGCTTTAGAAGTCGTCGATTAATTACGTCAACAATTTTTTACGCATTTTTGACCCCCCCCCC